AGTTTATAAGATCCACATCGTCAAATGCCTTAGCCTACTCAATTAAAAAAACCTCTGCTGTCAACCAAGATCCATCTGACATCAGCAATGATATCCCTTCCACATCTTCTACTGAATTCATGAATATTCAAGTATGATAATGAGTATTAGAAAGACATTTAGAAATACAAGTTAAGTAATTTGGAAAGAAAACAAAACACACGAATGCCCTTTAAGTGTCTGACATTACATTACAAATGTAGCTCCCGAACACAGCACATTCATGTAAGTGAGGGTGTACCCTGGCCACTCCTAGATAATCGGCGCCAACTTTCTAATTTCACCAAAGGGTAGACAGCAATGCCTATCCCAAAATACATCTTGGAAAAAACTTCCAATATTTATTTTCACAAATCATTTTATTAGGGACTCTTATACCTCTTCTAACAATCCATACATCAGTTGTATCAAATAAATTTGTACATACCAGGCCATCATGATGTTCAAAACATTATCTTTTTTACTATAGCCCTTGGTATCAGCTCTTTTTTTCTTCCCTCCCCCTCCCTTGTTACTCCTTGATAATTTTAAAAATTATTATTATATCTTGCACCATATGCTGTCTCCCTTCATCCATGTTATCCGTCGATCATTTAGAGTGCTCTCCCTTTCTTGTGCTTCTCCCCATACCTTCCCCCTACCCTCATGGTATGGTCGCTTTCATTATTGTACCTGGGGGGCTTATCTCTCCTGAATTCCATGTGTCAAGAGCTCTGGGCTGATTTGTAAGGTAGAACTGGGTGTCATGATAGTATGGGGAGGAAGCATTAAAGTTCTAGAGGAATGGTGTATGTTTCCTCAGTGCTCTACTGTACACTGACTGACTCATCCCTTCCTTGTGACTCTTCTGTGAGGGCATGTCCAATGTCTACAGATGGGCTTTGGTTCTCCACTTTGACCCCCCTCGTTTGCATTAATGTGATTGATTTGGGTCTTCTGATAGTTGAGTCCATCAACATCTCCTGATTGCACAGGCTGGTGTGCTTCTTCCATGTGGGCTTTGTTGATTCCTTGTTAAATGGCCACTTGTTTAACTTCAAACCTTTAAGTATCTACATGCTATATCTTTTAATAGCCTGACACCATTAACTTTCTTCACCACATTTGCTTATGCATCCATTTTTTTTCTTCAGAGATTGTATTGGTAAGGGGAACATCACAGAATTTGTCAAAAACTTTCATAAAGTAATGGTCCACTTAGCTAACTTACCACTTGTCAGGTCAGAAGAATGAGAGGGTTAGCTACCGAGCAAAATTATTTTGGAGTTAGGGCAAAGAAAGAAATGGGCAGACTGTCACATAAAGACATTGTCTGGCTACAATCCTTTAGTTACAGCTCTATTGTTCATGCTACCAATTATTTGAATTCTAAAGGAAAAGTTAGATACAAACACATTTGATAGGGAATTAGACACCTTGGCAGGGTTGGAATTGGTTCCAGCCCCCCACCACTAATCATGGGTTCAATAGGCACAATTGTATGGTTGAGATATACATATATATTATAATAAAGTCATCAAGAACATGAGTTAGAAGAGATACTGAAATAATGGAGTCAGACACATTTCATAGTAGCAATGCTCACCTCAGCTTGGTGGTCCATGTGTAGAGAGGGTGAAGGGAAGGAGGACAAGGGGAAAGGGAACAAGGGAGCAAGGACAGGAGAGGGGAGGCTGATGAGAGGCCAAGGGAGGAGCCAAGAGGGAAATCTTTATTGCTAACCCAAGCCTATTTATCTTAGGTGAGGAGTGCAAGCCCACTAATTACAGATTAAGACATACATCAAAGGAAGGGGATGCACTGTGGGTTATACATAAATGAGAGGGGGACAATCTAGGGACATACACACAATAAGAAGAGGAGGGATTGGGTTATACATGACAAGATGGGCAGATCCTAGATTCAGGTTGGCAGCTTAAGTTTGGATGTCACAGAGCTGGTTT